CTTCTGTTGCTGTACTACATCACTGCGTTTAGTTCCCCTAGAACTTTCTCTTCCGTTGTTCATCACGGTCCACATTATCCGCCTGCTTTTGGGTATTACCTGTTCGGTGGTCGGGGAGATAAAGATCGGATCTTTCGGTTATTGCTTGCTGTTTATCATCCCAGGAATCGGTATTTGCTGCATCTTGGGGCAGATGCCTCCGATGAGGATAGGTACAGGCTTGTTGCGGCCGTGAAATCTGTTCCGGCGATTAGTAACTTCGGAAACGTGGACGTCGTTGGAAAGCCTGATCGTTTTAGTTATATGGGGTCGTCACATATCGCAGGGACATTGCGTGCTGCTTCAATTTTGCTTAAACTCGATTGCGGGTGGGATTGGTTTATTGCTTTGAGCGCCAAGGATTATCCGTTGATCACACAAGACGGTAAGATGTTTTAGTATTTTTATTGGATTTTTTTTCTGGGTTTTGGAAACTGAAATTGTTGCTTCGATTGGATTTATGTTGTGGTTTTGTGTCGATTGATTAGGAGTTCGTGGTTTTTTTTACTGGAGCAAAAGTTGACTTTAGGGCGCATTTTGTGGGATACGTTTCTATTTTGTTGGAATCACTCAATTGAATGAATTTGATTGGTTCCGTATAAATTATTGAGCGTGCTTCTTCAAATTGGTGTAGGATTTTATCTTGGGCTTGGATTGGTGTTTTCAGGTAGCCAAGACTTAGTTACCAAGTGTAATCATTTTAGAGAGTTAATCTCAATAACTAGCTATCTTTAGATTTTCATAATCAAGTAAAGCGAATTTCTGGATTTGCCTTCCTTGTGTCTAACTGAATCCATGAAGGTTTTCTGGCAAGTCCTTCGTGTGAAGATGTTAGTATGAAAAATGTTACCTTGCTGACCGGAGGTATGTTTCTGTGTAAAAGACTGGATTGGCCGGAGCTAGAGTTCTACATCTTGGGGCTGGTTTGACAATGCATTATGGAACTTGACGTTTTTAATTGATTTTGATGAGACTTTTGTTTCTAGAGTTATAAATTCTTTCTGCATTTTTATATTGTCTAGATTATACCTTGGAAGGGTCTTCTAGATGTTTGACCTTTAGGAAATGAATTTTTTCTTGAATCTTTCAACTGTTATAACACAATTTACGTATGCATGATTGCATGTATGAGTTGAGATCTTGGGATAATATGTCATGGAGTCTGACTGAAATACTTAAATTACATATTATTTGATGAATTTCTTTATGCTAATGATGATATAATTTATGGAGTGTTCCCCCTAGTACCTTCACCATCCCCTCTTAACCGATGCCATGCCACCAACATCCAAGTGGATAGCTTGAGGCTATGTTAGTTTTTAACTCTCTGAGAGTTTTGCAAAGAAGACTAGCTGTGGCTAATTATGACTAGACTGGCTGGCATCAAAAGATTGCAAGGTCTAGTAGGTAAGAAAGGGTGATGGAAGTATATGGTTGTGGTTATTTATATGTTCTTTGTGTATTTTATTGTGGTCAAGTGTAGTTTTAGACAAAGCAGTGAAAGCATGGCAGTTTGGAGCAAATTTATATTGAGATTTGCTAGGAAGAACTAAAGATTTGGTATATCTTCTTACCATTAAGATACTATTGCAATTTGAAAATTTTCTGTTTTGTCTGCTTGTTATGTGTTATTGGGATTGTCATGTTCAACACTTGTTCTCTGGCTGAAACTAGGACACTGTGTTATCTTTTCCTTAAAATTGAAGATTTTATTATCTCATCATCAAACAAAGAGAAGTGTGAGAGCAAAAGCTATCTGCAAAGAATATGATAGGATAAGATGAAAAATCTAAATACTTGAAGTTGAAATCTTGACAAAAAGCATAGTGAAGGGTCCAACTTTAATATAAGTCTATAACAAACCCTAAGCTAAAACAATATGGTATAACACTGGTTTTCAATGCTTCTCTAGTAAGGGGCATCTTTATTCTCTTATGCTTCGCAAGTTTGATGTCACATTTGGGGAAAAAACCTCAGATGGCATCATTGGTTTTTGTTGCTCTTGTTTTGTTTCATTATTATCCCCAAACTCAACCATGCCTTTTGGATTTGTTCTTATCGTTTCAAATTGAGAAACTTCTCATGTTGCTCCCGGTTATATTATTGTTTTTTAATTGGTACATTTTTTTTTTAATCTAAAAAACTGTTTTGTTTTATTTTGAATTCTGCTAACCCTTTTTTCTTATTTTGTATTTCAGATTTGTCTCATGTATTCTCCACAGTTAAAAGAGACCTTAATTTTATTGATCATACTAGTGACCTTGGATGGAAAGAGTAGGCAAACCCTTTTCACTTACCTGTACATACTTCCACTGCATATGTTCTAATCAATTCTGACTTGCAATGAGTTTTGCTTTTGGTGCAGAGGTCAGCGCATCCAACCTATTATAGTCGACCCTGCAGTTTACCTAGCCAGGAGGACGCAAATTTTTACAGCTACAGAGAAACGACCAACACCAGATGCTTTCAAAGTATTCACAGGCAAAGTCTATAATCTAAAATCTAAAATCACTCCTGATTTTCTTTGGTGGAAATGCTTATCATTTGCGGTCTTGTTTATATTGCAGGTTCACCTTGGGTTGTCTTGAGCAGGTCCTTTCTGGAATTTTGCCTTTTTGGGTGGGATAACCTACCCCGGACCCTTCTCATGTATTTCAACAATGCCATTTTAGCAGAAGAAAGCTATTTCCATACGGTCATTTGCAATTCCCCAGAGTTTAAGAATACAACTGTAAACAGTGACCTCAGATTCATGATCTGGGACAATCCTCCAAAGATGGAACCCCACTTTCTCAACATCACTGACTTTAAAGAAATGGTTAAAAGTGGAGCTGCTTTTGCAAGACAGTTTGGACAAGATGATCCTGTGCTGGATATGATTGATGAGAAGATCCTCAAGCGTGGGCAGAACAGAGCAACCCCAGGAACTTGGTGCACTGGCCGGAAGACCTGGTGGATTGATCCTTGCTCCCAGTGGGGTGATGTAAATGTCTTGAAGACTGGACCTCAAGCAAAGAGGTTTGAGGAGAGTATCACAAACCTTCTCGATGATTTGAATTCACAGTCCAACCAATGCCAATGAAGACATGCTAACATGAGATGGATAATGTGAGACATGGGTGCATATACGTTGCATCTGAATCCAATGAAAGGATCAAAAGACCGCTATCAGACGAGATATTATTCTTTGGTCTGTATGCCTATTTTTTGGGGTTGTTACCGCGGGGTTCCACATTGTTTATATGACGTGCAGAAGCAAGTGAATTCACTTGAGATTTTTGGGACTAGGGGATTTGGGGGGGGGAGGCTATGATTAACGTAGGGCCATCCAGGAAGATGTTCTGTCTCTTGTACTGCCTCCTGTATTCTGTTGTCTGTTTTACACTTCTACTTTTCATTTGGCACTTTGATGTTGGAACAGAAATTCTTTCATAAAAAAATCATTGTATTGATTTGGTACTCCTCTCCGACTCTTTTCTTGTCTGGATGACTTGTCGCAAGTGCATTTCTAGTTGAACAAGATGCATCATGAAATGCAAGAACACGAGCTTGTTTGTCTCTGAAGGTAGTGAAGGTGGTAATGAAGGCAATGAGATGCTTTCCAAAATCATAAGTTATTAAGTTATACGTTAACATTGGCGACAAGCTAGGAATTTTTATTTATTTATTTATTTTTGATTGGAAGGGACGACAGGTTGGAGTAAAAGGGGAACAAAATCTCAACCTGGTGGTAACCAAGTAGAGGTTCAAGCAATTCTCACATACAAAATTTTCTTATACATATTAAATAATAGAGTTTTAAACGTCCTTTGATGGATTTGTTAAGAACAAAACTTTTCATGTTAATAATTTAAATAATTTAATGATAATTTTTTTATTAAAAATAAAAAATTTTATATTTAAATAACATTATATGTAGATAGGTTGAATTGGATTAAGAAATAAAAAATAATTATTTCTTATTAAGAGACATATGGTCTAGCAATGAGATATTAAGTAATTTATCACGTGTTTTTGACACTATACTATAGTAAAAAAAACAAATCCAATAATTATATAAGTCTTCACATGTTTAAACCACTCTTTTATTTATGTGAGATTTTTGTTCTCTTCTTTTTTTTAGTACATACATGATTTGCTTGACATACATGATCTATGAGTATACATATCGTGGGTACAACACTATCTATAGATATACTTGTCTTATGTTACATAACATAAACTCTCATTAGTTGTAAACATAAACTCTCATTAGTTGTATTATGCCATTGGTTCTAACATCATTTGTTAGAGAGACATACAATCTAGCAGGGAGATATTGAGTGGTCCGTCATATGTTTTTGACACCATATTTTAACAAAAAGAAAAAATTAATCCAATAGTTACATGAATTTTCACATATTTAAACTACTATTTTTCTTCATATTTCACCAATGTAGAATTTTGGTTCTTCATACTCACAAGGGAACAACATACTTCAACATTTATTATTGTATCACCTAAAATCAAACAAATAAAAAAATTCAAGTTATCAAACTATATAAAAATATATTAATTTTATTTGATTTGATTATTAAAAATAATTAATAATTAATAACACAATTAACATTTATTACTTAATAAATAAAATAAATTTAAAAATTAATATTTTAAAATATCATTATCATATATTTAAAAAAATTACAAATATCAAATTTAATACAAATTTAATAACTTTGACAATTCTATTAGTAGCCATAATTATAAGATGCGGAGCAATTGACAGACTACAGGCTCTACCCGCCCCGATAGTAGTGTCGGGTTGGGGTAAGAGGGCTTCAAAAAAAAAAAGGATAAAAAGAAAAATGAAAAAGAGAGAGCTTCAAAAGTTCAAAGGCTCCCAGCAGCCCAATGGTGGCCCAACCCACTAAACCTTCTGCCTAGTGACGGGGAACGCAATTTCATTTCGTTTTTTCATGTCAAGAACAAGGTCCCTGCGCCTGCGGCCTTGCGTTCTTACAGACGGCGCATGTTATCGCCAAATAATCTGTGAATTCTCTGTCTCCGATTTCGCTTTTATAGTCTATTCAAATGGGTCTCCTGCGATTCCTCAATTTCATATCAAAATCTGCTGTAAGACTCAATTTTGAAACAGTTTTCATAAGATCAGTCGTCACTCGTTCTCATAGAACGACAGGAGATCAGTATTTCGTTCTTAATTCAATCCTGGGCCATGAAAACTCATTTGGGTCTACATCAAATCTTCATCTTGTAATTTACAGATCGATTCACGATGATTCAGTGCAACCACAAATGCCTGTCGCGGCTGATGTCCAAAACCCTGAAAATGAAACAGAGAGGATTCCTCATAAAATTGCCCAAGACGCTGCTATAATCTGTAAGATACTCTCAAAAAATTCTGATTCTTGGGTAGAAGCAGTGCTTGACAATGCATCGGTTGAGGCATCCCCTGAACTTGTTGCGGAGGTGTTGAGGAGGCTCAGCAACGCAGGCGTTGTTGCGTTACAGTTCTTTAGATGGGCAGAGCAGAAAAAAGAGTTCAAATACACTACAGAGAGCTACAATGTGTTGATTGAAGCTCTGGGCAAGATTAAGCAGTTCAAGATCATATGGAACTTGGTGGAGGACATGAAGCGGAGGGGGTTATTATCTAAAGACACTTTCGCGTTGATTTCCCGGAGATACGCCAGAGCCCGGAAGATTAAAGAGGCGGTAGACGCTTTTGAGAAGATGAAGACATTCGGGTTTGAGCTTGAACCGTCTGATTTTAATCGACTGCTTGATACTCTGAGTAAATCTAGACAGGTTGGGAAAGCACAGGAGGTGTTCGACAAAATTAAAAACAGAAGGTTCGTTCCTGATATTAAATCCTATACGATTCTGCTGGAAGGGTGGGGACAAGAGCAGAACTTATTGAGGTTGGATGAGGTTTACAGAGAGATGAAGGATGAAGGTCTCCAGCCAGATGTTGTCACTTATGGCATCCTCATCAATGCATATTGTAAGACTAAAAAGTATGATAGAGCTCTTGAATTGTATCATGAAATGGAATCGAAGAATTTGAAGCCTAGTCCACACATTTTCTGCACCTTGATCAATGGGTTGGGTTCGCAGAAGAGGTTGAATGAGGCTCTTGAGTTTTTTGAACGATCAAAGAGGAGTGGTTTTGCCGCAGAAGTACCGACCTACAATGCTCTTGTGGGGGCTTACTGTTGGTCAAGGCGTATGAATGACGCCTATAGGGTGATTGAGGAGATGAGGAAAAATGGGGTTGGTCCAAATTCCCGAACTTATGATATAATCCTTCACCATCTGATAAAGGCTCAGAAAACTAGCGAGGCCTACTCAGTTTTCCAGAGAATGAGCAGCGAGCCTGGATGTGAGCCAACTGTGAGTACTTACGAAATCATAGTAAGGATGTTTTGCAATGTGGAGAGAGTGGATATGGCTCTAAAAGTTTGGGACGAGATGAAGGCCAAGGGAGTTCTTCCTGGAATGCATATGTTCTCTACCTTCATCAACAGCTTGTGCCATGAGAGTAGGTTGGATGATGCTTGCAAGTACTTCCAAGAGATGTTGGATGTAGGGATTCGACCTCCAGCACAGATGTTCAGTAATCTGAAGCAGGCACTGATTGATGAAGGGAAAGAAGATACTGCTTTGATTTTGGCTCATAAGATCGATAAATTGAGGAAGGCTCCATTAGTTGGTTGAGTTCAATGACGGCCATTAAGAGCTAAAATTACATGAATTGTGTCCTTCAATATCATTTTATTGGTTCTGATTTGATGTAATTGTGAACCTTTTTTGCGTTACAATATCTGAATATATTCAAGAAATTGTAATCTGTTTCATGTATTAATTCATTGATCCTTTTCATATATTGTGTTGATGAAAAACTGGATTATGAAAATTGGTAGGCTTGCGGGCTCGGATGGGTAGATTGGGATCAGGAATTTCGCCCGTTTGAATGGGTCAAAATACAAGATAAATGGGCTAAGGAGGGATCTTTACCCCTTATTAAAAGCGAGTAATGAGCTGGCCCAATATTGTCGAGGTTTTAAATTAGTGTTAAAATGTCATGTCATAAAGGGTTTATTCTTTTATCAAAAAGGTGTTATTGTGTTGCAATTTGTTGTGATTTAAGTTATAAAAAAGTGTGCCCTAATTTTATATAGGAAAATTTTCTTATCATTAAATATAAATTTTTAGATAAGAAATTTAATTATTATTTACTATTTTATATTTTATAAAATTTGTAAAAAATTACATATCAATTTTGATTAAAAAAATTAAAATTTTAATATTAAATTATATCGTTTTATTTAATTAAAACTTAATTTAAATTTTAAAAATTTATTTGATTAAGTATTAATATTTAGATTTAGAAATTCTTTAGATTTTTTAATTTTAAATTAAAATTTTAATTTCTAAATATATATTAAAACTTTAAGTTTTTTAAAAACTGAAACTAATATACACTAATATTATAATTTAATATAATATAGATTACATAATACTTTTCTCCTATATATAAATATGTACTATTGTGGTTTTTCAAAATTTTAAGTCTAATTCATGACTATTAAAAGAGGTCTAATACACATCTTAATATCAAGAATATGCATCTGAGAGATATTGAACAACATGGATGGACTTACGGTGGACATGGACCGTGGTTGATGTGCCCCCTAAAAATATCAGTTTTCAAGATAATTTCGTGGCCAATATTAATAATATATATATTTTTTATCATGAAAACTGCATTTTACATGGGACCAACTTGACTAAATTGCTCAAGGTTTATCAGTCATATTTATTTTTAAATTGGCATCTTAATTGCATATATAATGCATTTTTATCATTTGACAATCTTGCTGGAGAGCAACCTCTCTCCCTCGCTCCAAAAATATCAAGTGCCATACTATCAGTTTTTTTTTCTATCTTTATATTTATATTGAACAAAATAGAAAGGAGGGAAGGAGAGAGGAATTATATCTTGTTATTTCTTTCTCTTCCCTTATGAATTTTTTAATAATTAAATAAAAAAAATTTTTTCTTTTTTTTTTCCTTTCCTTATTTTTTTTTCAACCTAAACATATTATAAGTTTTTTTCAACCTAAACATATTATAAGTTTTTTTCAATATAGATTGTAAGTTGTAGTTCAGGTAATTATTGTATTTAAATACCTTCAATAATTAATTTTTATTAAGGATATTTTAATACTTTCATAATCCAAATCACATTTTTTTGTGCACTCTAAACGAAAAAGGAAGAAGAGGAAACTATTCTCTTTTCTCTATTCATAATTCTAGCTGGGACTCTAAAACAGGAAAACTCATATTTCAACGTTGTTTTTTATGTGAAAAAAATAATGTGGAAATATTTGTTTTCCAGTTTTAGAGTATTGGAAAAACACATATTTCAATATTTTTGCGCACTCTGAACGGAAAAAGAAAAGTATTTTCTTTTTTCTATTCATAATCCTAGCTAGTACTCTAAAACAAGAAAACCCATATTTCAACATTATTTTTTATGGAAAAAAAAAAAATGAGAGAAGGTAGAGAAAAACCATCCTCCTTTTTTATGGAAAAATGTATTTTCAATATGGGGTTTCCAGTTTTAGAGTAGTGGAATCTGGAAAACCCAAATTTCAACATTATCTGTCCGACGTATATAGTGAGAAGGCGGAGATGTTATAGTATTACAAAGACGTTTACCAAAACTTCAACTAATTCTGTCCACATAGCTGTCGCGGCTGCTATCATCTATTCAAATTCTTGTGTCCCAAGTTTTTTCAATATTGAAATCTTAGGATCTGGAGTTTGTGAAATTTTATTCCAATTAAGATTGCCTGGCTTCGAGGGTCTAATATTTTCTACTCCTGTTGGAATTTTTATTTTCATGGCAAAGTAATTTATTGAGAGGAAGGAGTAGTAGCTTGTTTTGGTGTTTTACCAACCATACGAATGATAACTAATGCAACCATTTGGAGGCAGGCACAAGCCCCTCTCACGCTATGAACACTCAATTCCTTCAGTAGAGACAAATTAAGCCTTGGCATATTATCATATAGATGTGAAAAGAGTTGCTTTCTTTCGTAGTTATTTCACCTGTAACTCTTCAATAAGTGACCCCATTTCAATTAATGCATCAATTTCCAGTCATATTTACTAAAGAAGATGATTGATGATACATTTCAAAGACAAGAAAAAAAGGCATAGCCACAGAAGATGATAATTTGAATTAATGTGACCACCTCAAATAGTATTTTAATATATAAAAAATTAAGATTTTAAATTGAAAATTCTAATATCAATTGTCAAATTAAGCTGCTTAAACCAAAAATGCCAGGTTGTCTAGGTCATGCATGATATTTTGAAGGATGGCATCATTGGCATGCATTATTAGTGGGCAAAGTCATTTTCTAGTATACCTTATTATATTATTCATTTCAATGTTAAGCATAACTTGGTCCGCACTCTCCCTTGATTCCCTTCATTAACTCTCCCATAAATAGAACTCCTCCACCTTTCCTCTTTCCATCTTCCTTGCTGTTGAGTCTTGACTCATTTTTTCATCTGCACAACCTCTTTGCTAATTTCCCTAAGTTGAAAAAGAAGAAACAGAAAAACAAAATGGGTGCTTTGGACACTCTCGCTGACTACGTTACGGATTTCATCACTGTTTCCACCAAAAGAAAGAAGCGAAAAGTAATGCAGGTAATTAATATAGACTACTTTTACTCCTCTCTTTGTTCAATTTCTAAGGTGTTCTGTTCAGTTTTGAAAGTGGGTTTTTGTTTCTTTGTTTTGCAGACAGTAGAAATCAAGGTGAAAATGGACTGTGATGGCTGTGAAAGGAGAGTCAGACACGCTGTTTCCACCATGAAAGGTACAAAAATCAAGCTTCATCGATCCATCAATTTCTCAGTTCTTTTTTGTTCCTTTTCTTGTTTCTTCTTCAAAGAAAAAAAAATAAAAAAAAAAGAAAAGAAAGAAAGAAAGAAAGAAACACCTTCATTCTTTAGTCAGACAGACCAGAAAAGAGTTCATTCGTGTTTAAGACTCTAACTGCTACAAACACAGTAATAAAAAGGACAAGTCAAGGAAGAAAAGAATCTCTGCTCATCACGCATCAAGAACCGACAGAGCAGGAACAGAGGAGACGCTGAATTATGTCCAAGTCTAACTCAGGACTACAAAATCGAAAACTTTAAATTTCTTCCTTTTTTCCCTCAGTAATTCTTTTTGAGATTAATATATATTTTTTAATTAATCTGATTTTAATTCATTTTAAAAATCATTTCAGGTGCGAAATCGGTTGATGTGAACAGAAAGCAGAGCAGGGTAACAGTGAGCGGATACGTGGAGCCAAACAAGGTGCTGAAGAGGGTGAAGAGCACAGGGAAGAGAGCGGAATTCTGGCCGTATGTGCCTTACAACTTGGTGCCGTACCCTTACGTTGCTCAGGCCTACGACAAGAAGGCACCGTCGGGTTATGTTAAGAACGCAGTGCAGGCGCTGCCGAGTCCCAATGCAACTGAAGAGAAGTACGTGACCCTCTTTAGCGATGAAAACCCAAATGCTTGCTCGATTATGTAGGCAATTTCCGTGGACTTTAAGATGTAGAGGCCTAGTTTTCTTCATACAAAAGAGGGATTTCGATAGTTAGGACATGTTTGGCTGCTTCGTAGCATTTTAGTTTGTTGGGAGGGAAAAAGCTTGGTTTGTTAGTTTCTTCTAAAAGTTCACACATAGTTCGTCAGTACTACATGATACAATCATGGATGTAAAAGGTCTTGGTGCAGTGGGTATATATCACTTTAGAGTAATGTTACCTTAATTGAAAAGAGGTGCGCAAATATGTTAGCTGAATTAATTATATGTATAAACAAAGTATACATATCACTTTATATATATATATATATATTTAGGTATAACAATTATCATGTAATTTAAACAGTATAATAAATATTGTTCAATAAAAAATAAGCTTCTAATATT